AGCAGATTTGTCCTTCTATGTCACACAGGACGGGTTTGTCCGTCTGTGTCACACGAGCAGATTTGTCCTTCTATGTCACACGGGACGGTTTGTCCTTCTGTGTCACGCAGGATGGGTTTTGCTGCGACTGCTTCCACTACACCTGCCTTGAGGCACATCTTCTATTCTTGTGCTCAGTGACCAGTTCACTTAATGTTCCTATCATTCTTTGTTGTTGCTGTTGGTCACAGGGCTTGAACTCAGGGCCTGGGCACTGTCTCATGAGCATTTTTTGCTCAAGGCTAATGCGCTACCACTTTGAGCCACAGCTCCACTTTTGGTTTTCTGATGAGTAACTGGAGATAGAAGAGTTTCACTGGTTTTCCTTTGGTTGACTTTGGACTGTGATCCTCAGCTCTCAGCCTCCTGAGTAGCTAGGATTATAGGTGTGAGACACGAACACCAGGCTTGTTCTTACAATTTTGCAGCAGTAAATTTTCCTTAAGCCATATATATGTATCCGTACATATATACATGTATATAAAACCACAGACTTGTAAACGAAGTCCACACACCTACACACACACACACGCACACACACACACGTATCTACCTTCGGGTTCGTACTTCAACTTTAACTCATCCAGCCTGGCTCTCAGCTTCATGTTCTCACTTTCCACAACCTGCAGGCACCTTTCCTGGGCAAAGAGTTTTCGCTCAAAATCCAGGGAGCGCTGGCTCTCAAACAAGGCCTTCATCCGCTGGATGGACAGCTCACCTCGGGTACTCTCGTTTTCTTTGCTACAGTGGCAGAGAAGTCCAAGTTCACACACAGAACAGACAGGTGCTCCGGAGTGAACTTCTTGTGTATTTGAACACTTAGCTAAAAATGTGTTTCTCTGGCATTTTTACTAACAACAAAATAAATAATTAAAATAAGGTTTAACAATGGCAACTCTCTCCAACAAAAAAAGAATTCCTGCTGGGAAGGTGGCTCAGTGGTAGAGCGCTTGCCTCGCATGCATGAGGCCCTGGGTTCCATTCCTCAGCACCACATAAACAGAAAAAAAAGCTGGAAGTGGTGTTAAGGCTCAAGTGGTGGAGCGTTAGCCTTGAGTTGAAGAGCTGAGGGACAGCACCCAGGCCCAGTGTTCAGGCCCCATGACCAAAAAAAAAAAGAAAAAAGAATTTCTGCATTCTTTTCCAATGTATCTATACGACAGCTTAAGTTTCAAATTACGTGTTCTTCAAAATGCTCTGGACTGAGAGCACTTTCTGGTTTTTGTTTTGTTTCTCACAGCCCTGCCCACCGGCCAGGACACCTACTTCAGCTCCTGGATCTTCAGCTGCAGCAAGTCTGTGTAGTAGCTGCTGTCCTGCGGAGCGGAGGGGCTGGCCTCTGCCGGGGGCTTCTGCTTCACGCTCTCATACAACTCCTAGGGAGAGCACGGGTTCTCAGTCCACACCGCTGCAGGCTGACAGGCAAGGCCAGCTCCGGGCACTGCCCAGCTCCCACCACGGGGTGGCAGCATGCCCACAACTACTCTGTCCCTCTCTTATAGGCAAGGGGACAGAGAAGAAAGACAGAATCTGAACCCAGGCTGACTGCACAGTCTGTGCTTCCAACCACATCGCTGCCTGTTTCAACTTCTGGCTTGTTTTTTTTGTCAGTCGTGGGGCCTGAACTCTGGGCCTGGGCACTGTCCCTCAGCTCTTCAGCTCAAGGCTAGCGCTCTACCACTTGGAGCCACAGAGTCACTTCCGGTTTTCTGGAGATAAGAGTCTCAGGGACTTTCCTGCCGGGGCTGGCTATGAACTGCGATCCTCTAATCTCAGCCTCCTGAGTAGCTAGGATGATGGGCGTGAGCCACCAGCTCACATGAGCACCCAGCACCTTCTGGCTTTTTGAACAGAAGGAAAAGCTGGCTGACTTGAATTCTGAACTCAATAAAACCAAAACGGAAAGAGGTCTGAAGTTCCTCCTGGTACCTATCCACGCCCCCAACATTGACATAAAGTGTATTTCTGCAGGGGGAAAAACGTCAATCTTAAAAAAAACAACTAGCAGGGAAAAAAGTGGAACTCCAGATCCACGGGTGGGCAGCATCACAGCGACATGGCGAGCCTGACTGACTCACTGTAAGCCAGCCTAGGCTTGCGGAGATGAACTCCCCTGTGCAACTAACTGGGGCTAATAAAGAACAAAGAAAACCGGAAGAAAATAAACACTGAGTCAGTGTGTACAAAACATGTCAATTCCACATAATAAAGAAACCTATTTCAAGGCCAGAGCTCATGCCGGTAATGCTAGCTACTCAGAGCGTTGAGACCTGAATGATCATGCCTTGAAGCCACGCCAGGCACAAGCTTCTGCTAGATCCCGTCACCAGTCGGCTAGCAAAATGTCAGTCTGGAGGCACAGCTCACGTGAGTGCCGCCCAAGCCAAGCAAGCGTAAGGCCGAGTTGAAGCCCCAGTACCAGAGTACCAGCACAAAAACTGAACAGCAAAAGAGCAAGTTAGAAGCAGCGAGAAATTCAAAATGTGCTATCTTTTAAAGTGCTTCACATACCTTAAATTTCTCCAGATTTCTAACCTCCCCTAGAAGATGCTTTATCTCCCCATTCTTCTGCTCCACCATGGTAAACAACCGCTCTTGCTGCTCAGACTCTGCCTGAGACCCTCTCATTTGTAGCAACGTGGCAATTTGTAACTGGAAAAAAGCCGCAAGCACATACACAATAAGGCAGAGACTTAACAAGAGCACCTCTGGTACAATCTTACCTTGTATGTTAGTCTGAACTTTAAAAAAGAAGGATTCGAAATGCTGTAAGTCAAAACTCGGTGGCTGTTTCTCATCTTGTATTTTAACAGCACACAGCAGTAAGCCCTGCTGTAGGCAGAACCTTTGGTGTATTTATCCTGCTTTTTGCCCGTGTCTGAAGCCCTTGGCGTAGCTGTGTATGCTTTGGGAGCTCCCCAGCGCCCACTCTACCTTCATCCGCTGCATCTGCTCTCGGTAGAAGGCATTCTGCTTCTTCAGCGTCTGATACTTGACCTTCATGCTGTTGAGCTGCCGCTCCATGGCCGCCCTCCGATCTTCTACCTGGGAAGTACTCCTGCGTCTCACTGTCCTTGTGAGCCACACGCCAGCGCCATCCCACCCCTGGTGGGTTTCCCCCAAGTACCTCCGCAAACAGGGAGTTGCCCTTGCTGTTGGGGTCCAGCGCCTGCTGCAGGGCCTGACTCAGCTGCAGCTGAAGATCCTGGTTCTCCACCCGTGCTTTCTGCATTCAGAAGAAAGCGTGAGTGGTGGACGGGCTGATGCACGGCACTGAGGCTGGAGCCGAGCCTGGGGGCCTCACCGTACCTCCAGGGCGCTGTAGTAGGACGCCGCTTCCTTCTCCCGCTCCTCCTTCTCTGCCCTGAGCTGCTCTGCCTGGCGCATCAAGTCGGCGCTCAGATGCTCCAGTCTCTCCTGAGCGTAGCGGAGCTCGTGCACCTCTTCTTCCAGGCCCGCCTGCTCCAAGGGGAGGTGGTGAGGAGGCACTCCCGTGCACAGCGCAGTGGCGGCTCACTCCCCAAACTAAAACTAAACAACTGTTTGGGGGCTCTTCGGTGAATACTAGACTTTTTAGCAGAAAAAGAAAAGGCTTTCGAGGACCCTCCTCTTTTCCTACCAACTCAAGCCCTTAACCTTGTTCTCCAGCCCAGCCCACCAGCCTTCGCACTGGTGAAGGAACGCAGGGCCGTCCCCAGGGGCAGCCCACCTTCAGGCGTGCCACGTCAGACAGCTCCTTCCGCAGGGCCAGCGTCTCCGAGGGGGTACTCTCCTGCCGGCGCTCGGACACGAGCCGCAGCTCCTCCACCTTCTGCGCCAGGAGCTCCTTCTGGTGCTCTACCTTGTGCCCCAGCTGCTTCTCACGGAGCCTGGCCTCGTCCAGGTCTGCCTCCAGCCTTCCCAACTAAAGCAAAACAGGAGGAAGATTCGAAATGCTGCAAGTCAAAACCACCATTGTACGATGGAAGTTTCCTAGTTGCCCAAGGCTAGACATCAAGTGGGGGGTGGGAACTAATGCCAAATGAAAACAACACCTGCTCAGCAGTGTCTCTGAGATTTACATAAACTAAGCTAGGTTACCCTCTCTGAGTCCTGGGGAATGACTGTATTACACACAAAAGCAGCACTAATAATGCATATTAGAAATTAACACACTCGCCCAAATATGTGACTTCACTGATACATCTATTACAGTGGGAAAGCATCTTAGGCACTGGTGGCTCACACCTGTAATCCTAACTAATCAAAGAGGCAAATAAATCTGAGGATCGCTGTCTGAAGCCAGCTTGGAGAGAAAAATCCGTAAGACTTGTATCTCCCAATTAACCACAAAAATCCGAAAGCACAGGTGTGGCTCAAGTGGTAGAGTGCCAGATGTGAGGGAAAAAGCCAAGACAGATTGCAAGGCAAGGCCCAGAGTTCAAGCCACAGTACCCCCTCTCATACAAACACATGCACACACAGAAAACACAGGTCATTTACTGAAAATTAAGTAATGACAGGTGGTACAAAGACATGGAAAATCCAGAAGATGACACACAAAAACTTCTAAGAGAGCAGAAGAGTCAAGGCAAGTTCTGGTAGAAGGCCCAGACCTGACGGCGTTTCAGGTTAAAGCACTGGGTAGCTGGGTGCTGGAAGGCGCCCACTCCAGTGGTCCTGCTCTCCTGTGTCCAAGTGGAGCCAGTATGCAGGACCTCAGCCATGACTGACCACGCAGTCATGGAGAGAGAACGGGTCCTTTCTGATGGTGTTATCTGTAGTTAGCGGGTACCTGCTGTAACTTATACTAATTCATGAGGAGTTCCTGATTAGTTCTGCAGAATTGCAAAGTAGAGCATGAGCTGCGGCAGGCGGGCAGATTCCTCCCGCAAGGGGGCTGCTGCACTGTGTAGGCCCAGCCCTCACTCGGGCTTGTGCGTGAGCTCGTGTCCAGTCCCTGCTGCCAGGCTCACGGCAGGGATCCAGACTGGGCCGTACTTGGGGAAGCCTGTCTGCTCATGTCCACACAGCACTGCACAGACAGGGGATTTGCTCTGGAACGCGGACAGCCCACCTTGCCTCTGAGCTCCTCTGCCTCTTGGGAGTGTCGTCGGCCCAGCTGCTCTTCCAGCTGCTCCAGCTGCAGCTTCTGCTGCTGCTTCATGGCTTCATACTCACAGCTCAAACTCTCTAGCATGCGGCTCTTAAGCTCCACAGCTCTCTGAAGAGTGTATTTTTCTTGTTCATATTTCTGCAAACAGATCCAGTTACAATCCAATTACACAAACACCCACTACATTGATCACACGTAGCCAGGTTCACTTCTGACTACTTCAGTTCTATTTTAAATGTCTACTGCTCACCATGTACCAGACATACGACATCTGGAGTTAACTGTGTGACTCAGCCTCAGTGAACTCTGTGGACGAGTCTGACACACGTGACAGGAGTCTCACAAACTCCCGGGGAGGTGAATTTAGGGACTGGTCCCAGTGGGTGGCCGCCAGTGTTTGGCAGCCAGCCCTGGGAAGGAGTGTAGGTGAAGGTGTACTGTGGCTCTCATGGAGCCATGACTGAAGGGAAGTGGTCTGAAGGGAGATCAGTTCATGAGGGACCCCCGAGCCCACATAAAGAACTCAGGTTTTATTGTCTAGAGGCCTGAAGCCTTGTGTGCCTGGTGCAGGGAGGGGCACAATCTTTCGGGTATTCCCTGGGGGCCTTGGGAGCCATGTGAGGATGACAGTGTGAGTGGCAGGCTGGGAGCAGGCAGGCCCAGTGCAGAGAGGACGGTGGCCGGGGGCACAGCGCTGCCTGGGTGGATGGCTTATCGGTCAAGTACTAAGAAGCAAACCATAAACATGAGACTCTGGGGTTTTTGGCTCAAACAACTATGTGAATGCTATTCCACTTACAAAAGAGGTACCAAAAAAGAACGCTTGCTTAGTGGGCAGAGATCAACTATTATTTATACTTTTCCTTTTCTGGGGTGGTACTGGGGTTTGAAATCAGGGCCTCATGTTTGCTAGGCAGGGGGTGCTCGACCACAAGTCATGCACCCAGCACAGTTTCCTTCTGCCACAATTCAGATGTCTACAAGTGCTAGCTGAATAAATAAGTGGGCTTCCGAGGAGAATGAAAGGCCTGCGAAGTGTCACAGGACATTCAGATGTCACGGAGCTCTGAAACAGGTCAGGCCCGCTCAGCAGCATTCAGACAAAGCACACCGCGGGTCAGAATGGCAAAATGTGGTAAAAGAAATCAAACTGGATTTTTTTTTTAAAACATCAGAATACATTAGGTTAGAAAGAATATGAGTAATTCATTTAGTTCATTCTCCGGGGTGTACAAGGAATGGGATATGCTGTAAAAAATGAATAATAATAATAGCATCACAAACCTCCAGTGGCTAACCAGGCCCTTATAAACCCAAGTGCACAGCCCTACCTCAGTCACGGCCATCAGCTCATGACGACACTGATCCAATTCATTCTGCAATTCAGTTTGGCTCTCCAGGAGCTGTAGGCCATACTGAGCAGCTTTCAGTCGCTCTGATTCAGCCTCTTTGAGCTTATTTCGAAGACCTGTCATTTTGTCTTCCTCCATGTTCCTCTCCTGTCTTCAGCCTCCTATAAACTGAAGAAATATGATTACTTGAGCTTACGTGTAACTTGGAAAAAAAGCTTACAAACTCAACCTCATTGCCATACACAAACATAAGGTACTGAAATTCAATTCTTGACTTCTAAATAAGTGGTCAGACCTACATCCTTAATCCAAGAACAAGAATTACTTTTGGTAATTTTGTTCCTTGGTTTGAGCTTAACACAGAAAAAGAAAAATACATTTAATATTGCTTCCAAGAAACGCGCCGTCTGGAAATGTCTGGGTGATGTGTGCCCAGTGTACAATGTTAAGGGAGAGGTTCCCTAATAACTGCAGGACCCACGCAACTCACGAGAACAAGTGAAACCCAGAAACTCTGTAGTAGCGTGACGGTGCATCCAGTGTAAAAGGGCTGATAGGCGTTTGAAGAACACCGTGTCTGAGGTATCATGATACTGAGTACTGACCACTGGATCTGAACTAACGGAGGTCACTTGTGACCCCAGGGGCAGCAGTGGCAGAGGAGGGGACGAGAGCCCCAATGGAGTGGGTTTAAGAGGATGCAAAAAGCAGAAACTGGAGGAGCAGCTGTAGAGGGGATAACAGCAACTTACAGAAAAGTTAACAGTATGCTTATATATCAGGAGAGTGAAAACCTATTACACCAGGGGCAATGGACTGCCCTGATTCAAGAAGATGATGAGTTCTAATGTGCAGGGACTCGAACAGGGACACTCTGGGTAGACACAGTGAGGGAAATATGTGTAGGTGACCTTCCAAGTGATTCCACGTGTCAACGAATTAGGACACAAGATGAAGAAGGAAAATGAAGAAGGAAAACATGGAGCTTCAAAAGAGAGAAAACTGATCACAGGTTACTCACTCAGGGCTGGCAGCTACAGCTTTATAATGGAAACATTTATGTGCCTGCATGGTGGCTCGGCCAGCTGGCTAAGCACTGCGCTGCTGCTGTAACCAACACTTGCAGAGTCAACTGCCTCAAGTACCTCATTTTGCTTCACTCCCTTGGAGGTCTGAGTTAAGTGAATATTGTCCTCTCAACTTCTGCCAGGGAAATAAGGAGCTAACCTCAAGATAGTCCCATGGACTATCCCCAGGAAGCCAAAAGTAGCTCTCATTCATTCCAAGAATCTGGTTGGACTCCTATGAAATTGGCACTGTGTCTGCAGCGAGGGCACCATGGTCACTCAGACGCCAGGCAATGCCTGGGCTTTCCTCCGAAGGGTGCAGTCCATCCGCAGAACGGCGTCCTGCCGCCTGGCCGCACGATAAACACAGGCGAGAAGGAGCGACAGGGAGCGGCGCGAGGCCGTTACCGGGGACCTGCCCTCCTGGGTGGGGAAGTTCCCCGGGCCGGGCCGCGCCCGGGGATCTGCGGGGTGAGCGGGAGC